GCTTCACTTCCTTGTCTTTAATGAACCCAAGCTTACCTCTTCCACCAATGGTAAGCTTGGCAGATTGGGACCACTCTAGAAAGTTGGTTCTATCAAGTTTTACAACGGTATCATACCACTAAAAGTATTTGCATTACATGGGAGCACTTCGGAAACAATCTGTAATTCCTTAGATGATTCCATTTGTCTTTGTCAAGCTACACAACAGCCCTACAGCACTCCAATATCCAACAAGCACAAACTAGACCCACTAACACAAGTCAACACGTGGTTGGAAGCCAATAGGAAGCCAAAACTGAAATTGGCAGCAATATATGTGAAGAAAAATCTCCTAAAAATTAACCAAGGTTCAGAAAAATATGAAATGACTTCCCACAACTCCAAAAAGAAAAACGACTTGAGAGAAACAATTCTCAATCAATAACCACTCTCAGATGTGGAGGAAAAAGAGAATACATTGATCCTRTATTTTTATGTAATTTCTGATTGAAAAATCCGGGAAAAATCAAGGAGGCATCAAATGGCAATGAGAATCATACCAAAAACTCTCTAAAAACAGGGTGCACAAAACTGAACAAGTTTCAAGGGTTCCCAGTTCCCACCGGCACTTGTACGGACTGCTGACATCATCCACCAGCAGTCTAACATCAGCAGATCTTCCTGGGTTCAAGGGTCRGCAGTTGGGTGAGTTACWGTTCACACCCAAAGAAAACTTTATAACCAAATCGACCAAACTGATTATTTCAGTTCTGGTTCTGTGGTTTGTGTCTCGATTAATAATWGGGTAGGGATCAGTTTTTGCTATTCCAAACTAACTATACAGTTAATAATATATAGAGGTCTCTCTGGTTTCCTTCTAATTTTTATTATATTTATATCTAAAAGGATAAATTTCACAGACAGCATATAAGATAATTTTGGTTAAAAGCATGCTTTATGAACATATAAACAGTCGAATATTTTACTGTCATTTTTATCAAGGTTATATTATCAAAAAATTCTAGGCTGTTAGTCTCATAGGTAATTATAGACACCAAGTATAATTGAGTCCAATTGCATAAGACCTCATTATCCCAATTAATAATTGGTTCAGTTCTGGGTCTATCTTATAGAACTGATTAATTCTCAGTTTGGGACTGGTCCACCCTGTCCCAAACCAGACCCAACCCATTGACAGCTCAACCACTGATGGATAAATGTTTCTATCAATCCATGAACAATAAAGATGATATTGAGAATATAGATGGTGAATATATTTTGAGATGCTAGAGCAGGATTTCATAGAGGGTGAATATATTTCAAGCATAAATAACAGCACTGCTTTTGTATGCAAGACCTTGGGAATTTTAATAGTGAAATAATGAGCCTAGAGTGCCATTCCTTAGGCCATAGGGTGGGTTAGAAACCAAGTGACCTGCTTTTGCCACAAGAAAACCAGTAAGCATGTTCTATTAAACACATATAAAGGGGCATGAAAGGCTTCAAGTCTGAAAATTAGAACATCTCTACAGACCATTTTTGCAACAAGGTCCCATGTAAAACAAATAGAATAGATCTATATGAAAATAGCATCCCTCCAAAATGGCAAATGCTGTCATTATGCACATATATTGTCTTTATCTTTTAATAAATCTATAATTTTCAAAACTTTTGTCAAATTTCTAATTTCATATTAATGCCTTGACTTTTATGTGTATTATGTGTCAAGGCGTTGCCTAGGCAACTAGGCGCCCTTGGCTGGGCACCTCGCCCAAACACCTTGACTTTTACCAACTAGGCACCTGCCTATGTGACAAAAATGACAAGGTGGGCACCTTTTATAATATCATTTATATTGTTGTATCATATTAATGGATGTGTTAATACATTTTATTATATGCTATATATATCAATTATACTTTGTTTTAATGTTTTACCATTGAAATTTAAAAGATCAAAGGGTTTTGAGGAGAGAAAAAGAAAGAGAAAAAAAATAGAGGAAAAAAAGAATAGAATTATAAAGAGGTTCATTTTTTTATTCTCTCTCTCTAATTAAATAAAACAGAAACTTCACCCTTGTTTCTTTCTATTTTACTTTCCATCTTGAATATTTGCCATATAAARTTCATAACCTTCTTTAGCTGCTAATTGATATGAAATTGCTCTATGAAATACTTATTATAGTAGTATTATTTTTGAAAACAATGAAATTAATATATGTAAAAGATTTTTATCTTTTAGATATGATAATTTGCCACATTTTTAGAGGAAATTTAATGTTCTTAATAAAGAGAATTGCTATTTTTTCACTTAATATACATGCTTAAGTTAGTTTTTTAGACTATAAAGTTTTTATTGCCTAGGCGACTGGGCACCCCAGTGTTGCCCAGAATCACCTAAACACATTGAAAACTATTTATTTGCTTTTTGTCTATTTATAGAAGACGGAATACACTATATTTGCAACAAAACAAAATAACTTTGCAATTTTTCAAAAAAAAAAGCCCAGAAATTCTAGCACTATTGACTGATGCTCAAATGAAAGAAGACACAGGCTCAAATCCAGAGCTTACTTGAGGTATTGAAGAGTCATATTCTTCAAAAGAGATGGATGCCGCAAAACAAGATTCCGCCACTCTTCCTTGTCAATCTTCCCRTCATGTTTTGTGTCAGCCTCCTCAAATGTCTGCCATGGACAAAAGAAAAGCAAGCCAGATTATAAATATTTTCTTTTAATAATTAATAAAGTTTTACTGTTACTGATACAAATATTATAAATGTTTTCAAAAAATTCATGCCCTAAACCCTTAAAAATATATATGTAGTAGAAAACTAGAAATGTGGAATTCAAAAATTTCAGAACATTGACAGAAAAGAC